CACGACCTCTACCTTGGCCGGGTCCACTGAGATCCCGTTCTGGTTGACGAGATGTCCGAGGAACTGCACCTCGCGCAACCAGAACTCACACTCGGAGAACTTAGCATACAAGTTCTCCCTCCTCAAAGTCTCCAAAACTTTACTCAAATTCTCCTCTTGGTCCTCCTGGGTCTTGGAGTAAACCAAGATGTTATCAATAAACACTATCACAGATCGGTCCAACATCGGTCTACACACGCGATTCATGAGGTCCATGGATGTGGCAGAAGCATTGGTGAGCCCGAAGGGCATCACCACAAACTCGTAGTGGCCATAGCATGTCCGAAACGCGGTATTCTGCATATCCTACTCTTTGACCCTCATCTGGTGATATCCTGAACGCAGATCAATCTTGGAGAACCAAGATTCTCCCTAAATCTGGTCAAAGAGGTCATCAATCCTCGGAAGTGGGTAACGGTTCTTCATCGTTACCTTGTTCAGCTCCCGATAATCTATACACATCCGATGCGACCCATCCTTCTTATTCACAAATAGAATTGAGGCTCCCCAGGGTGAACTGTTTGGTCTAATGAATCCCTTGTCTAACAGCTCCTGCAACTGTGTAGACAACTCCTACATCTCAGGAGGAGCCAACCGATACGGTGCCTTGACTATTGGAGCTGCACCAGGGACTAGGTCGATCCTGAACTTCACCTGTTGCTCCGGATGCATCCCAGGAAGCTCCTCTGGGAATACGTCTGCGTAGTCCCGCACCACCGGAACCTCACTCACTGCTGCCTTACCCGCCTCCCGGATATCCATAACATACGCGACATATCCCGTGCAACCCTGCTGAAGGTAGCGCCTAGCTCTCGCTGCTGAACATACTGTGGGTCCACGTTGTGGCCTCTCGTCGTGGACTACCAACTCTCCCCCACTTGGGGTCCTGATTCGCACCAGCTGTTGAGCGCAATCTATCACTGCCCCATTGAGGCTGAGCCAATCCATGCCTATAATCACCTTGGTCCCACGTAATGGAATGGGAACCAAGTCTACCAAGTAGCACTCCTCAAATACCCTCAGAACGTAATCTCTAAACACTGTTGATGCTTTCACTGATTGATCATCGGCAATCTCTACCTCTAAAGGGCAATCCAACATGCCTGAAGACTCAATGAACTTCTTACTAAGAATAATAGAAACAAACGATCGGGTGGCACCCGAGTTAAACAACACTTGTACTAGGATACCGTTCACATGGAACGATCCTAAACGCATATACACAGAGCACATATCAACATCATAACATCATATAAATAAAACAGAGGGAAAGAATCATACCCATCACCACATCGGGTGCGGCGCGTGCCTCCTCAGTAGTCAGCTGACATGCCCAGCTCCTCACCACTGGAGCCTCCGCCTTGCCCTGCCGGCCATCAGTAATCCGCAGGGTCGCTGGAGCTGGCGCCTTCACTGGCGTTGTTGCTGTCAACTGGGGGCAATTGGCCTTCTTGTGGCCCCTCTGGTTGTAGTGGAAACACAACAACTCTGATGTCTGTATCGTAGGTGCAGGGACGGTACAATCCTTTCTGAAGTGCCCCATCTTGCCGCACTTATAGCAGCCTGATGATCCCAACCTGCATACTCCCTCGTGCGTCTTGCCACATTTCCTGCAGCACCCTCGCCCCTGTTGGCCTTTCGGCCCTGCGTCTGGTCCCTTGGGCTTCTTCCCTGAAGCCCCCGTAACCTGCCGCTCCTCTACTTTCCTCTTCCGAATGTGCTCCAAGTCGATCTCCCTTTTCCTGGCCCAGGCAATCATGGACTCCAAAGTAGGGCAAGCGGAAAAATTGACATGCTCCCAAATATCATCTCGTAGCATGTCATGATAGCGGGTCCTCCTCATATCCTCATCACCCGCATACTAGGGCACCAGAAACGCCCTCTCCTGGAACTTGGCGGTGATCTCCACCACAGTCTCCGTGGTCTGCCTCATATCCAAAAACTCCCTGGCCAGCTGCTGAAGCTCTACAGCTGGCGCAAACTCTGCTCGGAACCTGGTCACGAAGTCTGACCATGTTATAGCCTCAACAGCCAAGGCTCCCAATGAGTCACCAACAGACTCCCACCAGATCCCTTTTAGCACTGCTGATCACTGCTATCCTCATCCTAGGCTTACCCTAGGGAAAACCTCTGACTCCACCCTATCCGATCCTCAGCTCCTGAAGGCCTCCTTGCAATGTCAATTAGCTATTACCTGACTACCATCACATGTGATGAGGCTAAGATAATCCTTCGAGTAAAAGACTCGTCCCTACAACAGTTAGACTCAAACAAGAGTTGCGCAATAGGGCCAAATCCAACACTCTGAGATTATTCAACTCGGATCACATGTGATGTGACGTATTCACCTAATGGCTAACTCTCATTGTTGAGAGTCCCACAAAGCACAAAGCAACCAACATTCGAACAAAAGGAAACAATTCTCTAGCAACTATATTCTTATAACAGGAACTGCACTAGCATACAATGCTAAGCTCATAGTATTAGCATAACCTAAATAGGCTATCCTACTGATGTCTAATCAATCCTAGCATGCAATTTTCATAAGCTGAAACATATAAAGTAGGCACGTAAGGCATCACCGCTATATCCTTAGTCCTATTCTAGCATGTTGTTCTACTGAAACTGATAAACATAACATAAACTTGTATGGGTACTTTGGGGAATACTTACTTGAACTCGGCCGGTCGCGCACATCACACACTTCATTCTTTCTTAAAACTCTTTACTTAATATTTTATAAAACTTTTTCTTTTCCGAAATCCTTTAATCCCTTGATTTGAGTTCAGACACCCCCGAAGGTGTGTTCGAATCCCTCAAACCAGGGCTCTGATACCAACTTATAACGACCCAAATTTCACGTCAAAAAATTTCTTTTTTAAATCAATACTTTGGAAAATATTTGTAAATAAAACATTGTTTGATCAATCCATTTCATAACATACATCATGTCTGAAACCAAAATATGAAAACAACCAAATATCAGAGTACAAATCCCAGAACAAGTTCGTAAAGCGGAAACAACGTGTGTGTATGATGTGCTGCTACCGCGCCAGCTCCTTCCCCTTCGTTGAAGAGGTACCTGAAACCAAAACTGAAAACTGTAAGCATGAAGCTTAGTAATTTCCCCCATCGTACCACATACCATACAACCACATAACATACATATATTGTCAAGCATATCTGGGTACCCGACCTACTCCTTCGGTCCTCTCAACCGGATATTGGCTAGCATATCTGGGTGCTGGCCTCCCCTTCGGTCCTCTCGACAGAGTACTGACTAGCATATCTGGGTGGTGGTCTCCCCTTCGGTCCTCTCAACTGGATGCTGACTAGAATATCTGGGTACTGGTCTCCCCTTCGGTCCTCTCGACTGGATACTGGGGATCACTTCCCTACTGTCACTAGCACATAGCATCATATCATACTAACATGTAAACACATCAGGTAGTAGCAAACCTAGATGAATATCACATAGACAATCATCTAATCATACAACTCCTACTAATGGGCCGGTATTGTGGCCGTAGACCCACCGCTACTGGAAGGTAACTCACCTCGAAGTAGCTGCTGATCTGCACGGGTACTGCCTATCTACTGCTACTGCTCCGGAAATCCTCCAGCTGTAATTCCCACAAAATAGTCCATCAAACACTGCTAACTGTCCTTAGGGTAAATGACAGTTTTACCCTCGACCAAGTCAAATTCAAAGTCAACTACCCATTGATCTGACTCGCCGAGTTGGCTCGCCAACTCGCCGAGTCCCTATCCTTCCATTTGTTCTTACACTCATCTCTACTTGTCAAGTTAGGTGATGCATCGACGAGTTTTCCTTCTAAATGGACATCGACTGAATCTTCATCCGACTCGCCGAGTTGTATGAACAACTCGTCGAGTTCATCTTCATCCACGAGAAGATTGCCTTGGACTTGCCGAGTCTACTCATGCACTCGCCGAGTCCCATGAATATCCGAACAATGGCTTAGTCCAGAACATTGGGTCACCGTTTCTGACCTTCTATAGTCCTTCTAACACCTAGCTAAGTTCTTTAGACCCTTAATAGATATGGCACTTTATGCCTTGGACTCGCCGAGTCCCAAGAACGGACTCGCCGAGTCCAATCTTGACCAACTCCATGCAGTCGATTTAAATGAGATCTAACACACCAAAACCATAGATCTATCCACCTAATGCTCACTTTATACGTAAAGTTCCAAACTTGATGCACATGCATGGGGTTTTTAGCTCAAAAATCCATATAAAGTGTTCTATAATGTGCATGGGGCTTTCATGGCCTTAAAGTTGGCACCTTTATGCCATGAGACCCCTCTTAAGGTCCATATCTGAAGTCAAAACCCACTCAACACTTCCAAATCTGAAGTATGACTTAGAAATCCAAAGAGATCCCAAGTTAAAGATGAATAAACACATAGATGAGTTAAGACAGGGGCATTATACCTTGAAGCTGCTGAAAATGAATTAAATTCCTTGGATCTACTGGTCCCAACTCAAGTTCCAAGCTCCTTCCTTCCTTCCAAGCTTAACAACCACACAACAACACCAAAGATGGCCTCAACAAAGCACAAACAGCTAGGGTTTCAATAAGAAGTGTTTTGGGGAGCATAAGGGACAATATGGCAGTCATAACATTGCTTAAATAGGGTGCAAAACCTCGGATTAGGGTTTTTTTTAAACAACACCTATTCGCCGAGTCCGGGACCCGACTCGCCGAGTCCGGGACCCGACTCGCCGAGTCCATCACTTAAGTCACGCATCATATCCCGCTTCTACTCGGCGAGTTGGTCCTTCAACTCACCGAGTCCAAGGCCAAAAATGCGAATATTTAAAGAGTTAATTACAAAGAATACATACCTAGAACCAGGTGCTACACGCATCTTCCATTAACAAGGAATATTTTGTGAGTCTGACGGTTTCAACCATATGTCTCTCCAAAGTTAAATTCAGTTGTGCCTTTGTGTCATCATTTCCTTCGATCTAGCTGACCACTCGGTTCTGAATAACGAACTCGAAGTTGCCGCTTTCCTTTTTCCGTTTGCTCGAGCTTTTGTTTTGTCCCTTCCCATTGGAGGAGGAGGTGGACGTATTTCTTCAATGTTGTCGTCATCATCATTAAGATTAACACCTACGTGACCATCTGATGAGACTTGTTGTGATCTTGAATATGAATATTTTTGGCTTCTTTTTGGTGGATTAGAAATTTCTTCATGTGTTGCAAGCTCCTTCCACCTAATGCTTCTTTTGACAACTTCCCACACATGAATAAACTTAAAAGGCTTTAGCATATTATCTTGGAATGTAGCGTGTGTTTTTTTCAACAAACCCGCTTTACTTTCTATGCTAGCCAATTGCTTTTCAAAGTTTGTGTAAATTCCATTCCAATGTGTCACGAGTTTGTTCATAAGATTCCATTTTGAGTTACATTGGTTGTAGGTTTGATAATTAGGATCTGGACCCATTCTTTACAAATTCGCTTCGTGATACGTAACCAAAACTGATCACGATTTTGACCCTTTCCCCTGCCACCGTCTTCGGATATGTCGACCCATGCCTTTGCTAACTTAACTTCTTCTTTTTGTGCCCATCTTCTTGGATCCGCCATCAATTTCTTTTATTGTTGAGGCTGTTGTTGTAGTTTTTGGTGTTCAAAATCAGGAACAATTTTTGGTTATAGGTGTAAAAGGCGGTTGAGATGGAAATTAGGTTTGAGATGGTTGGGTATTGGGTTGAGATTGGAAATGGAGTTGTGGTGGCATTTGGAATTGTGAATAATAGCTAGAACACCATCTAGTTGTGACCGGTAAGGTGGTGGTGATGACAGATCGTAGCCGAAAAGTGTGAAAGAGTTGTTAACATTTTGGTTTGGAGTATTTCGTTTGAAAGAGTTTGGATTGTTGGAAGACATTTTCAATGTAAAAAGTTTGTAAATAGTGTATAGTGTGGTTAAATTTTGGAAAAATGAATTGTAGATATAGTAGATTTGTTTAAAAAAATGTGTCATATAGTTCTTGTGTCACACACCGAACCAGACGGAGGAAACATCCAGGGATTTAGGTGACTTCATTTTTGTAGTATCATAACAGTGTATATAATTTAAAGAAAACATCATCATCATCACACATGTAATATTACAACTATCATTGTTTACATCGAGTATTGTATTTCAATATTACATGCCAAAATATCCAAATATGGTAATAAAAAAACACAACAAAATATCCTCGTATTCTTGTTGACCAACCTGCTCAACGATTTCCTAAGAATACAAGTTAATTTGAAAAAGGGTCAACATATCTAATGTTGGTAAGTTCATAAGCATGTTTGAGTAAAATGTTTTTTTATTGCTTTGTGAACACCAGAAAATCCATATTCTCTGAAAAACGGTTTGAAATGTTTGTGTCAAATCTTGTATTAATGCATGTGTGTTAATGTTTGTGAGTGTATTAGGTGAATGATTCCAGACAACCCGATGTTGTTTTTTTATATAAAGACATTGTGATTTCAATACCCTAAAACTGAATACAAATGTGTGAATGTTCCCGTGTTATCAACAGATGTATTCCGTAAATTTTATAATGGTGTTAATTCCTCTAAGTGAGTCGTTATAACCAAACTTGATTATGACAATTCCACCTGTCATGGCGTTTTTGGGATACCGACGGGTTTACGGTAAAGTTTGTCACCCTAGAATGGTCTAGTCTAACTGTAGCGAACAACTTAGGTGTGAGGTGTCACCCCTCTATAGATCTATACACATAATCTTGCTCTCCCTCCAGGAGACTCTAGTTATAACTACATGCTATGGTTGTACACTCGAATGTGTGTTAATGACAATAGTTATGTAAGATTAAACGTATTTATATTATCAAACAACATATTTTCTTTATCATTTTCATAGCATACGATAGATGTACAATAATTAATTAGAATACTTGAACCTAGCTCTGTCTCTATCTCTCTCTCTCTCTCTCTCTCTATATATATATATATATATATATATATATATATATATATATATATATAAACAATGTTCCATTAGGAACAGTTCTTGCATCTGATTGGTCAATTTATTTAATCGTGCCTTTTCCCGTTGGCGTTCCATCCCTTTTCTTCTTATTATCATGGGTCGGTGGATTCTTCCGATGGTCGTGGGTCAGTGGCGATACTATTCATAGCTTCTACATGTCGTCTTACCATTTACCACCATTGTAACACGTTATCTTTTTTGTTGTCTTCTTTCCTACTCCATCCAGATATCTCCCACCGTCTTTATCTGTATCGATCATCGATCCTTCCACATAAACCCTACCCCTCCTCGTTTGCTCTTTTGCCTGCTTTCTCAAATAATCATCGTCCCTGCCTTCTTTTGAAGGAAATTGTTCATAGTTATCGATCCGAATAGTACCTAACCAAGGTACTGATCATCGGTTATTTAACTTGCCTTCTCATTACCTTCTTAAATCCCCGACTTTCTGGATGCTTCCATCTCCACAGCTTCTCTACCGCCAACACTACAACGCCATCATATATTTAATAATCAATTTCATAAGTTTCACAACTTCCTTTCTTCTATTCTGCCATAGATTGCAATGGCGAATACTTACTTGCAAATGGATGTGAAGTCGGCACCAACATATTCCCCGCGCAGTTATAAACACTACTGATTTTCTTGTTCTTTACCCTATGAAACATCCAAAAAATGCAACCCAAAAATTTCATTTTCAAACATTATTCAAACCATAATATTATCTCCATAGTATACAATCATAAACCAGGTGTCTCAAAATATAACAGTATTTATTACATATCAAATTTCATATCTTATATCATATCCAAAATCTCAGAGTAAAACTGTCACACCCCGAAAACCGAAGGCGGAAAACATTTCCAGGGTTGACTCCACGTTGAGTATCAAATCCAATGCACATAGTAAGTAAAGTAAAACAACCATTACATTACATAAGAAAAGTTTTACAGTTGTTTCAAAAGTAAAGTTTGTACAGTTGTGATACATAGTATACATATGAACAAAAAGAAACGAGTCTTCATGTACTCCGTCTTCAAGCAAAAAGGATCTTCGGGTACCTGTTCTAATACTGACCTGAGAACACAAGCGGTTTGAAAATCAGCATAACGCTGGTGAGTTCATAAGCGGTTTTTGTTTGTGAAAATGTTCAAGTTTCCTTTATGTTTCTGAAATGTTATGTATACCAAGAAAATCCCATATTTTCTTAAAAGTTAGTTGTTGTTTCACAAATGTAAAGTATAGTAAGTTTGTAGACTGTAAACATGTCTACTCATGTGAAAATGTATGGTTTGGTTATCCGGCTTGTTAAACTGTTCTGTTTACCTATCATGTATTCCCAGGAAAGTCCCATACTTTCCTTATTGCATAATACCAAATGTAAAAGATGTAATGTTACCCAGATTATTACACTTTCTAGTTATGTAGGAGTTACCCAGGAAAGCCCCATGCTTTCCTGCTTGTCGGTTTTCAATGTGAATGATGTAAAAGATGTAAGAGATGTAAACGTGGTTAGATTTCATGTTTTCCCCAGGAAAGTCCCATACTTTCCTGAATGTTGGTTACTGTACGTGAAAGATGTAAAAGATGTAAAAGATGTATAAAGTGGTTCATTATTACTATAAGTAAATCTCTGTTATCCTAATTGCGAGTTCCATAACCATACGATGGACTAAACCTGTGGCAATAAGTAGTCCACATACTTATGACTTTCGTCACCCTTGAACCGTTTTGGTTCGGCTGTAGCTAGCAGCCAGATGTGGGGTAGTCACCCCCGTATAGATCTATACACTCAAGTCACGCTCTCTAAATCCTAGAGATTCTGGTTACGGGTGTAGTCCTCCACTCGCGTATCTTTGTGGATTGTTCGCCGAGGACGTGTCTCCAATCATACACGATTAACAAATTTACTAGTAATAATATGATTATCCTCCACTCGCGTATATAAGTGGAGTGTTACTGAGGACAGAACAGTGTACAGATATTAGGTTCAAATGTTTAATGTCATGCTTTTAACTGATAAAAATGTGGAAAGCCATTTGTGAAATGTATGTAAAACATAGCAGTTTAAAACCCATTTCACAAATATATGTTACGTGATCTGCGTGTTCAAACGGTTATCAGTTATAGTATTCAGTATTAAAAGCATATGAAATGTGAAACACACATTTGAAAACATGTTTTGAGTACAGGTAATCCCTTGTACTTTGCTTGTGTTCCCCCCCCCCCCCATGAAAACAGTAAAAACAGTGAAAAAGGGTAGGGGTATGAACTCACCAGACTCAGGAATGCGACGGTTTCAGACACTAAACGTTGGTTCAGGATTTGATTACTTGCGATGTCCCTATGTAAAATGAAATAATATCCGTATATATGCAATTAGGGATACATTCACTAATTATATGGAACATTACACTCCGACGAGGTTAAATACCTCAAAAAACACGTTTGGAGTGACCCGGGTGACATCTACGGATGTGTATTGGCACTTGGGGCTTGGGACTTGAGTTTACTCCCCAAGAGTAAAAATTTAAGTGAGTTTACAGCCATAAGACACACACATACATGAGTTTACGGCCGTAAACTCATGTTGGTGTCATTTGGAGGGTTTAATGGCTTGATTGGACTTGGGAATTGTTGGAATGGATTTCTAAAATGCCTTGGAATGGATTGAATGGAATTATATCACTTAAAAAGGAGTTTACGGCCACACACTTGGAGTTTACGGCCGTAAACTCACCCATGGTCAAGAAAATTGGTTTAAGGCACAAGAAGCAATCACATGTGATTCTAACTAATTTTCTAAGGCTTGGTATCAATTTTTGACTTCAATTAACACCTTTATATGAGTTTACGGTCCAGATGCATACCCTCTGGCCGTAAACTCTAATATGGTTAAGAAAAATTAGTTTTTGATGCTTAAAACAATCACATGTGATTCTAGGAATTTATCCAAGCCTTTGGGGTGGTTTAAGGGCATCATTTGACAACTTAAAGGAGTTTACGGCCCAGGATATGATCTATGGCCGTAAAATCACTTATGTAGGGTATTTGATGTGTTTAAGGTCCCCAAACTATTTTTAGATGGTTCTAGGATTTACCACAAGGCCATTGGTTAAGTTTCAAGGCATTTGGACATGTTTTAAGACACTTAATCCCCATTATAGAGGAGTTTACGGCCCAAGCACATGCCTTGGCTGTAAACTCTTGTTTGTCCCCCAAAATTCATGTTTAATGTGTTCCAAGTCCAGATTTGTAAGTCTCAAGGTCATATCTAAGTCCCAACTATGATTTGGAAGGGTAAATTTGGCTTAAAAACCCCATTTTGAGGAGTTTACGGCCCAAGATTGATACTTGGCCGTAAACTCATGTTCTTGGTCCCAAAATTTAATTTATACATCAATTTGAAGGCTAAAGAGGTTAGATAACAAGTTA